GGGGGGGGGGGGTTCTCTCTGAGCTAACCAGTGAAAGTTTGTAAACATAATCACATTTAAAAAATAAAAACTTAAATTCTGTCCTTTGTGGATCAAATGAAAGGTTCGTTTGACGTGAGCCACTGGTTCAGGAAAGTTAAGAGGACAGTGCCACTGGGTGGTGGTGGTGGTGGTGGGGTCGTTTAGCTTCCCTTCAGTCCACTGAACGTGATCAGAGCAGATTACCTCCAGAGAATGAATGGAAGGTTGATCAGTGCATATGGCGTCTTCAGACTCAAGGGAACTGAAGCCGTTTGTGCACCAATTCTGTTGCACTCACTGTCAAGTTGGGTAAATATTATAATCGACACATTATGTGTATCATTGTGTGTAGCCGAGTATATCATTGCTGAAATTGTAGTAAATCATACCACCTATGAGTAATAATGAGAGAAACTGTTATTTGCCATTTTTCTTTTTAAGAACACAAGCTGCGTTCTACGAGCTCCGTGTGATTCAGCAGCCAGCGTACGGTTTGAAGACTTTGTTGCGTTTACGGTTCAGCGTTGGTGTTCTACTAGGATTGTTGCCATCAGTGGTGAGAAGGAGAGCAAATCTCTGCACAAGAACAAAAAGGTTTACTTGAAGTTCATGCACGGAAACCTTCATTTTAGATGCTTAAAATTTCACTTGAGTTGCCGTTATTCAATGTTGATTTATATTAAAGAAGAGGCATATGTATCTGATAAATCAGTTTAGGGTCAGTGGATACAAGATGACCTTTAATTTCCAGTTGGGTCAGAATAAAAAAAATAAAAAAAAGAAGATCCCTGGCACGGCATTGAGCACCTCATTAGAGATAATCACATCTGAGTGAGCAAATATTTTGCAACCGAAGCAGAATTTGTATGAAAGTTGTCTAAGGTAAAACAGTTTTGTGAGGAAAATGGTTTTACACAAGAGCATTTATAAACTAAAGGTTTTTTGTTTTAACATTTAACTTGCATCGCAACATGTTGAGCCTGAAAACCTGTTTAGTGTTCAATACTGAATGAGCAATATCAGTAAACTCTTTTTTGAAATTTGTCAGTTTAACTAAAAACTTCATGTGCTTTAGCAACTCGGTCATGGACATAATTTAATTCAGTTCAATCTATATAGCACAAAGTGACAACAGAAGTTATCTCAGGAGTCTGAACAAAAAACATTCACATACATAAAAAATATAAAAATCAGTAAAAGTTATCCAAGGAAGCAAGCGGATTATTATGAATTTTCACTTCATCACCATCCCCCATCCTGAGCAAGCACAAAGGCAACAGTGGAAAGGAAAAACTCCATTTAACAGGAAGAAACCTCCAGCAGAACCAGGCTCAGGATGGGCACCCATCTGCTCCAACTGGCTGAGGTTTGAGAGGAACAGGAAGGAGGAACTAACACAGAAGGACAGGTCCAGGTCTACTTTTTTATTGGAGGAAAGACAAAAATAAAAAACATGTTAAGGATATAAATAATTACAAATACAAACAGTAGAGTGGAGTAAGTAAAGACAGCAGCAGAGTGAGGAAATGTGCATCGGTTTGTCCTCCAGCAGTCTAAGCCTATAGCAGCATAACTAAGGGATAGCTCAGAAAACCCAAGCCGACCCCAACTATAGGATTTATAAAAAAAAAAGGGAAGACGCCTAATCTTAAAAGTAGACGAGGTGTCAGCCAGACAGAGACTGGAAGTTGATTCCACAAGAGAGGAGCCTGATAACTGAAAGAACTGCTTTCCATTCTGCGTTTGGAATCTCTAGGAACCACAATTAAACCTGCAGTCTGAGAGCAAAGTGCTCTGAGGCAGCTGTGGCTGAGTGGTTAGAGCAGTGGTCCACCAGTGTGAGTGTTGGGGGTTTGATTCCACCAGCAGTCACATGCTGAAGTGTCCCTGGGCAAGCCACTGAACCCCTCACTGCCTCTGATGTGTGTCCCATTGGTGCATGAATGTGATCTAAAGCACTGGTCTTTGTTTAGATATAGTAGAGTGTTGTATGAATGGGTAAATGAGGGCACAGATTGTATTGTAAAGCGCATCAAGTAGCTTTATAAGATGGAAAGGCGCTATAGAAGTACAGTCCATTTACCATCTGTTAGGATGGAATGATATTTGTAATACAAGATGGAACTAGGTTGTTGAGAGCTTTGTATGTTAAGTAAGATTTTGAATTATATTCTGAAATTGACATAATGGCAGCGAGAGTCCAAAAGACTGGCCACATACAGTATATTATTAACTTGTAGACATAAATGCATTGCACTTGGAATATGATTACTTATGGTTTAGTATGATCCAATAGTTATCTACAGTACTGCACTCAACTTTTTTTGTGATTATACTACGTTTTGATATATCATGCCCTCCTATTTTTAAATTATGATAAGACATCGAAATCAGAATCACCTTTATTGGCCACGTTTGTTTGCACAAACAAGGAATTCGACTTTGGTTTCAAGTGCTCACAGCGTACAGACAATTCTAGTATGTATAAAACTTAGAGTAAAAAGAATAAAGAACAAAAAGGAACAGTTTGCACATGTAGAACAATGTGCTTATTTTGTTTCACAGCAGAGCAGCTGACTATTCAGGCTGTACGGTGTTTATTGTGTTCATCAGAGACCACCTGGGGGAAGAAACTGTCTCTGCGGCAGCTGTTTTTTGCACGTAAGTGCTCTATAGCGGTAAAAAAGTCTAAACAGTTTGTGTCCAGTACGTGTGGGGCATCCCATTATCAACCAAAATATATACATTTTCTACTTTTAAAATTAACTAAAATCTTTTTTTTTTTTTTCATTCTTTTAAAATAGAAGTTCATCTGGGCCAATGATAAAGTAATTAATAAAGTATTTTTGAATTGAATTGAATTGAATTGAATTGAATTGAATGAACAACACAGACATGTGTGCACATTTCAATGAGCTCCAAAAGTAGAGCATGCATGAATGTTGCGGGTGTGGGATCAGAGGCTGGTGAGGAGCGGGGGCTGTGGGTGATGACAGGGATGAGTTGATGGGTGCTGGTGGGGCAGATATGAGGGCAAGGGCTATTTCTACAAGCACAAAGAACTTGTTTTATCCAGTCTACAGATCAAATGAAAATATGTCGGCTTCACTTCACACAGCACAAGCAAATGAGTGAAGCAAAATGGCCTTTGAATACATACAGTCGATCCGTACAGCAGAGATATAAAGAAGTAGAATAAAAGTAATGTAAACAGTTCTGAAAGACATTGAGCAAACAATTCATATGAGACAAGTTTGATTATTGTATTACCTATGAACTTGTATACAGTTTGTAATCACTGCATGTTTGGAAGAATAAACCAGGTATAACTCTGATCGAGAAAGTCAAGAAAAGTTTTTGTTCAGGAGACTCAAAATTGCCAATAGACAGGTCCTAATAATAAAAGGCATAATAATTTGTATTTAATAGCAAGTTTTGTTAAGTGGTACTGCTTTGCCCGACTCATAAAGGAAATATGTTGAGAGGAACCCAGTGTAACAACTGCCCCCAGCAACTCCACAGAAGCAGCAGAGTGTGAGGTGCCTCCAGCAGTCGCTAGGCGAAAGGTGGAGCTCCCCCTAAGCAAGTCTGTTTCAGGACCACGTATGGCACTTTTCCACTGTCTGTACACATCGGTTCTGCACCACACCGCACCATTTAAGGGCCTGTCCACTGCCGGTACCCACCCACACTTTGCCCGGTTTAGGGGACTCTCTTATTCCTGGTGCGAACTGCTCCGAGGTGACGATTTTGACGTAAGCAGGAAGCAGCCATTGATTGGCCAACGGAGCTACGTTACTGGATGACCTGCCCAGCCCGTACATGTCAAACCTTATGGATTTTCTGTAAATATTATACACATTTCACCCCCCACCCCCTTTCATGACTAAAGATGTAGAGAGAAAGTCTAGCAGATTTGTAAAAAAAAAAAACAGCTTCAAATTTATTTTACGTCTCAGAGCCGGCCCATAAGGAAATGCTATGGTCACCCCCACCTTCGCCTCATCCTCCCTGCTCCGCCCGCCTCTGCCACAGCAACCAACTCCCCCAATGTATCGTGTGAGAGTACTACAGATGTTTTTTTTTGTGAATTTTACAGATTTCTGAAGGCCATTATACAAAACGTCCAAAGGGGTTGACATGATTATCTGCAATAACTGCATCTGAACTGTCATTTACTCTCCAGCTGTTGTAGAGTGTTGGTTAGATAGTTTGTTTTTTCTAGATTTCCAGTTTCTAGTTCTGTATGGAAGTTCCAAAAACAGTGCTGTGGACCAATGACGAAGTCCAAACCTTTCTGTCTTTATCAGTTGATCGGAGGATTCAGCGCGAGCTGGATGGCGCTACAACAAACCACCCACTTTACATTGACAATCCCACACACTGAGCAGGGAAACAAGTCACAGTGGAGATTCACTCACACCTGAGAGGAACCGATAAGACGAGAACTGACTCGAGTCACGCTTATCAATGGTAAAGCGGCCATAGAGGCAGACAGGAGGCAACTAAGCACACCCACTCCTAAAGTCAAATAGACTCTCCGGTCTGCCTAATATGAATAGTTTTGAACTGTGTGAGGACATGGATGAAAACATGCACATGCACAGAGAGAACATGCAATCTTCTCACAGAAAGATTCAAATCTGACAGCTTCTTGCTTTGAGGGGACAGAGCTAACACCATTATTTAGCAAACTGGCAGACTGAAAATTAATGTGGGGAAAAGTAATCAAACGTCTTGGGCCAGTAAATTATAATTTAATGGTCACGCAGATTAAACGCTTGACATTTCACGAGTAGTTTCTTCAGCACAAGTTTCCCCACAAGATACTTATGTGAATCTTTGACCATGTATATTTGTATTTATGCAGCAACTCAAAATCTTATCAAAGTTTGCTGCAAAAGTTTGGCACAAGAAATCTATGCATTTATCCATCCATCCATCCATCCATTATTTTTACCCACTTCTTCCTTTTCGTGTCGCAGGGTTCACTGGTGCGCATGTTCACCAATCACTGTGCAAGATGTGGGGTACACCCTGGACAGGTCACAGGTCCATCACAATGCATTTATGCAACTATTGCAAATCATGGCACAATCTCTGCAGTGTCCTTGTCAGCTTGTTTTTAGTTATTTATTTTTTTCCATATGGTGACCTGTTTGAGCTCCTGACTTTTCAAAATAGTCAATACAAAATAAAATATCAAGTATTGAGGGCGGCACGGTGGCTCAATTGGTAGAGATGCTGCCTCTCAACAAGAAGGTCGACAGATCAAATCCTGTCACAAGGCCATTCTGGGTGGAGTTTGCATGTTCTCTCCATGCATATGTGGGTTTTCTCCGGGTACTCCGGTTTCCTCCCACAGACCAAAAACATGCATGCTAGGCTGAATGGTAACTCTGAATTGTCCCTAGGTGTGAGTGAGAATTGTTGTATCATTTGTCTCTATGTGGCCCTGTGATGGACTTGCGACCCGTCCACGGTTGTACCCCACCTCTCGCAGTGACTGCTGGATATGGGCACCAGTGGCACCTGCAACCTGGAAAGGAAGAAGCGGGTAAAGATAATGAATGGATGGAAGATAAGTAGGAATTTGTTAAATTTTCTTTGCACACTTGAAACAGAATGGTTCATTTGCTCCTTTGACTTGTTTAATTATTTTTTTTCACACCTGGACTCTATCATTATTTGTCACCTACTATCATTTGATTGCAGCTCCTTTGAGTTTAGTAACCTCTGACTTTAAGTTTCGTATTGTAAGATTCTTACAGTTGGGATTAGTTGCCTTTTGGTCACTCATAGGCTCGTCAAACCCAAGTATTCTGTTCGGTACCTTGGATTTATATACCGTAGTGATTTTCATGATGCAACAGTGTTTCTTGCTTCATTTATTTTAGTATCATTAAGTTGTTGCCTCATCAGCCTTCCTCCTGTGTAACGACCTGCATTTGGACACTTTCTCCTACCAACTCAATTTGTGCATGGCATTAAAGTCTGATGATTTGTTGTTTGTGCTTCTTCTTGAATTCTCCTCCAGTTTGTTGTGTGTGCGCATGAAAATATAAGCTGTAGAAACCTTGCAGAAAGCACATTACTTTTGCAGGCTGCAGCTCCTTTTAGCATGACGTGCATTTTTTATTGTTACCTCTCATGAGTAGCAGTTTTAATTTCACTAAATTAATACATTCAACCTACATTTGATGTATTTCTTTTTTTTTTTTTTTGCAAAGGCAAATAAGAGAAAAGACTGACTAGTTTTTAACATCTAAGTGTAATAACATATCTCACTACCTTTTTATTTCAACTCAACCTAACATGGTTTTATGTAAATTTACTTCAAATTTATTGAAGCTGACACAAATAGAATATTTAGTGAGTTATGTTCTAGTTTCTTTTGCGTCATTGAACTTTGCTCAGTGTACTATTTATGCATTTCTCATACATGCACATCTTTCTTGAGCTCTAAACACCAGAGCAGTGTCTGTGGAGAATAGCTAAATGCACATTAGAACAAATTAGGTGTCTGTGTGTGCTCATGTGCAGGTTTGCTTAGAAAAATGCAAAGCACCCAGTGTGCCTGCCTTCTTGTTTGTGTGTAAGGTTGGGTGTGTCAGCTGCAATTTGTCAGTGCATCTTGATCCCTTCCTCTCAGAACGGATGCTAAATTAGGATGCATATTATTTAAAGATGCACTGGGCTGAGTTTCATCTGGGTATTTGTGCAATCGATATGTTGTTTTGATGGTGTCCTCTATTCATGCAACCAGAAAAATGTGGTCAAGCTCAAAAGCATTTGCATTAAAGAAAATCAGCTTGAAGTTTGACTTTGATTTAAGGAACTTTAATGATTTGCCATGTTTGCTTTAAGTGTAATTTTATTTTATTTTTAATTGGTGTTTTAAGGCAGCTGTGTGTGGGCTCCTCAAACTTTCTGAAAAATAAAATATTGTTAGTTTAGTTTACAGTTTACATAAACAAATTTATGATCATGTCCAATAAATTATTTAAAAATATTGTTTTGCCCAATAAACTCAACCAACTATCCCACATTATGGATTTTGACAAATAAAATAAAATTGTGCTGAAGAGAGAGCTGAGCTGTAAGGCAAAGCTCTCGTTTTATCGGTTGTCTACGTTCCTCCCCTCTCCTATGGTCACGTACTCTGGGTAGTGACCGAAAGAACGAGATAGTGGATACAGGCGGTTGAAATGAGTTTCATTCATAGGGTAGCTGGACTGTCCCTTAGAGATAGGGTGAGAAGGTCTGCTATCTGAGAGAGACTTGGCGTAGAACCGCTGCTCCTCCACATCAAAAGGAGCCAGTTGAGGTGGTTTGAGCATGTCCGACTGGGAGTAGACCCAGGACACACTGGAGAGAATACGTCTTGGTTGGCCTGGGAACGCCTTGGGGATCCTCCCAGATGAGCTAGAAGAGGTGGCTGTGGAGAGAGATGTCTGGGCCTCCCTGCTCAAGCTGCTGCCCCTGCGACCAGACTTCAGAACAAGCGGAAGATTCATTCAACCTTAAGATGATGGATGGAAAATAATTAAAGAGGCAAACACTAAAGATAAAAGCACAAAGATACACACTTATCTTTCAGCTGCCAACTGCAGCAAGTGATGCCAGTCAACTGCTCAGACTTGTAGCTGTTTTTTCTAGGGGGAAGTGTTGTTTTGTATAATGCTTAGTTTAATTTGAAATTTGTCAAACATGCCATTTCTAAAACAGCAGGCATTCTGTTGTGCCCAGTGGAAACCACAGCAACGGGAGGAGAAAGATCTTTGTAAAGTTGTTGTTTGAGCATTGTTATGTGACCCAATCCCAGTGTTGTTTAGTCCCATTTGATTTGCATTTGCCACCAATGGGCACAAAAACAGGAGGCTTTGGCTAAAACATATTAATAAATTAAATAAATTATCCAAATATTTTTTAATTATCAATCATTTTTTTGTTTGCTGACAAGGAAATGCTAGTACAATGTGTAACCCTTCTCTGACACTGTTGAAATAAACTCCTGTCCATCCACATCTCTGAAATGTTGCAACTTATATCATATTGAAGTTCGTAGACAAAATCAGAAACTAGAATAGATAGGTAGTTGCAAACAGTATTTTTTCTACAAGAATGAAACCTATTTGTACTTTGCCTTGAACAAGCTAAACCGGTGCACAACGTGAGGAAAAATTGTCCAGACTAATGCTTCAGCTGCTTATTATTAGTCATATGCATCACTTGAAAACTCAAAAGGCTCCATATAGACCCTGCGTTTGCTTTTCATACTGGAAATATTTGAGGTCAAAGACTAGCTTCAGTGTGTGCATTATATCCTCAAAGACCTTAAACTTGTCATGGAGAAAAATAAATTTAACATTTATAAGCAATAAGCTGAAAGAAAAATGCTGAATGTTATGGGAACTTTACCTCATTTGTAGGTGATATAAGATTAAGTTCAAGTATCTTTTGTCATTTGTATCACATGTGGTATATGAGGTGGAATGAAATTGTGTACACAGGGTCCCAGTTACACCCAAAAATATCAAAAATATAAAGTGTCAAAAGAAACAGTATACACTGAGATATGCTAAACGAATGCCAAACAATACGATAAGGATCTAAGATATACACTAAACACTAATAATGTAAAATAATATGGTATATTAAACAGCAGCCCAAACATGAGTCTGTAGTGAGTAGATGGGTATGAATGAATACACAACACAAATAAGTCACATATTACCAATTAAAGTGGTATTACAGTGATTTTCCTGGTTAGGGATTTCCGAGTCCAACAGCTTCAAGGCTGTTCCTCAATTTTGGCCTTTTTGGAGGTAGTTTGTACTATAATTCCAAGATGTTGCTACTTATTGTTTATTTCACACCAATGGCTTTCTTGGGCAAGTTTGCAGACTTATACAATCATTTTATACAATATTTAATTTTACCACTGCACAGATGCACTAGAGGGGGTATCTAGAATATTGATATTTGCAACCAGCACTAAGGCCAGTTCAAGGCCAAATAACATTCCTTTCGGCTGTGTGAGACAAGTTCAGTATACCTCACTGAGCTTTTGTTTCTAAGTTTTTGCATGTTTGTGTTTGTGAAAATATCAGCAACCTGGCTTCACTCCCTTGCTTGCCTAACTAGCCTGCAGTCGTTTCCCTTCCTCCTCTGCCTGGTCACGCCAGAGCATAGTTACACTATATGTACTTGTGTAAATGAGCAGTAGTGGGTTGTTTGTTGAGTTGCAGCATATTCTGTGAGCTCCAGTGGGAGCACATTGAATATGTGTGTAATAACTCACACTCTTCAAGGATTCCAATGTAAATCTGCTCATTAAATAGATGTTTTTTCTTCTACCTCTGCACATAAAAAAGCTACATTGATGAAGCTCTTTACTAATTAGTTGCATGTTTTTATGCACACACCCCCTCACTCTCATTCAAAAACACTGTTATTCAAAGATCACACTACAACACTTACCCTGTGATGAAACATGTATTTAATGAGAATCCTGCTGTATTTATCAAATGTGAAGCCTGATCAGAATCCTTCCTCGTTATAATACATATAGTATATACAGTATTATATAGTATAATACATGGCAGTCTTATTTGTCATCTTGACATTATGAGAAGTGTTGAGCCTTGATCCAAGCATTTTAATGTACATTTTATTCACATTTGAAACTAGCACTGATAGAATAGACGTGTCTTTGAAATGTGCAACTCATGTTTTGTTCCGAGGTCTTTTATATAAAATGCGTGTAGTCTATAAAAAACCCCAAAAACAAAATGAATATTACCTAACCAGATTCAAATGAGTGTGTCACTGTCACCAGCCACTTCCTGTAGGCCTAATGTGCTTGTTTATGAAGAAAACTGAGCAAATAAAACATATTTGTTTAGTCCCTTTCATTATTATCACAAAGTGCGTCATAATTAAAAATAATAAATAAAAAAAATACAAGAAAAATCTATATGATCCTATAAAAAAAGTATAAATACTAGGGATGCACAATATTGGATTTTTAGACGACAGGACAATATGTTAAAAACTTAATTTGGCTGTTAACCGATACCAGTACCCATATTTCTTTTTCCTAGACCTACTTCCATAGACGACATAGCCTTCTCTACTCTGGAATCAAAATACTACATTATTCTGCATGGTCTTTGTCGGTTTGATCTGCCATCAAATGCAGATGCCAAAAAAAGGGGCTGAAAATGATGTAACACTTGAACTTGGATTATGTTTAATGTCAAATTTATTCATGACATTTGCTCTAACACAATGACAACGCTCAAACAGTGCAAATTCTCACAAATCTAAACTCAACCTTATCACAAGCAACAAGTGAAAAGTGCATCAATAGTAATGCATTAATAGATATACTTGACAATTTCTTTAAAAAAAACAAAAAAACTTAAAAACAGAAGCCTTTTATAAATCAGTGAGTTATTTTGATGGAATGTCTGATATTTAACTTTATCGCTAATATTGGCTGATACAGATACTATGCCGGTATTATCGTGCATCCCTAATAAATACCTTTGCAGTACATGCATAAAATCTCAAAAGATATGAAAGTATAATGAAATGGATCTTCTGCAACACAGATCAGTTTTATTGTTGGCTTTAGTGACTCATGCAGGGGGATAACACTTGACATGGTCACATGGAGGCGCTGGATTCTACGAAGCTCCCCTGTGATCGGAGGTTTGACTAGAATGAATGAATGAATGCATGAATGCTGTCCGTTGAACAGGAGGCTTGAGATACAATCTTTACAATTCAATTACCTCACTCTTCATCCCTTGTTCCCCCTCTGGGCTCATGTTTGGCTTATGAAAACCCTGCCCCCCCTACTATTACTTAGGAGAACGTTACTGTGTAATTCCCATTCATTATGAGTGCAGTGAAACATGTTTGAACATTTTATGGAAAAACTGACCTTTAGATCTCACTATGATGCAAGTTCAAGGGCAGGTAGGGGAAAATATGCATTCAACCTTTATTTAGACGGGTTAATCCCATTGAGCCTCGGGGACTCATTTACACGAGAGACCTGATTTCAACAAAGAATGATGACAACAATGGACAATCATAAAAGAGGCACACAGGTTTTTATTTTTATTTTTTGTAAACAAATTCAAATAAGATGGCAAAAATAGCTAGATCATAAGGCGAATGTAGAAAACTAAAAAACAGGAACATGTCTGCGTTGGTTTTGCCAGAAGTCCAACTGAAACATATACAAGTTTTGATCAGAAATTTAGAAACAATTCACTTCTAATAATGATTTCATTACTCATTTAGTCCATTTAGAGATTATTCAAAATGTTGCTGATAATTTACATTTGTATTGCACAGTATTTAGACAAAAATAAACAAAAATGACTGACTTTAGCCGTCAACAGACTGTAGGTTTTTCTTTGTTGTCTATGACAGTAAAATTATTTTTTTTTTACTTTTTAAGATAACCTGACCAGGCAAGTTAGGAGAAAGTCTTGACAACAACATTTACATGCTTTGTTACAAAGTGATATATAATTGAAGGTTTTAATCAACATCTGTTCAAAAAGAGTCATTTGCCAGATGTGAAGCCAGCAAATCAATGAAAATAATGCTAAATTATTATATATAAATTTATTTTCCAATACGATTTTAAAGTATGGATTTTAACATCACCAAATTAGTGTCAGCTGTTTCCATAAATGCATTGATGTTATTTGTTTGTAACCATTTTTAAAATAAATGTATCATGTTTTTGTATATTTTAATGTAATAGGACAAGTCATATGGTTTGAGTTTCGTAAAATAAATACAAATTGCATTTAACTGACCATAAAGTTTCCAATAATTGACAGGGTATGATTAACTTCCAACAGATGTGAGTGAACGTCCTTAAAATTGTTGCTTCATTGTGTAAGCCTATGTTGGAGAAAGTGACGCGTTTCTGGTGTTTTCTTGGTGTGAGAAAATCTCTGCTGCGTCGACGTGGGAAGATACACAGCTGGAGTGGCTAACAATTGACATGACAGCTGTTACAGCGCTAAACGACTTCCAGCTTTATTCTCAGATCTCTGTGGCATCATTTGAGTATTTAACAGTTTTTATTTACTTTTTTTTTTTTCCCCTTCCCCAATTGTTTAATGGAATAATAAGTCCAAGGGTCATATCAGGCAAATTATTCTCAACTTTTTGACAATATTCTACAACCATAGCAAACACAGTCACAGCTATGACATGGCCTCCACCATGATGGCTATAGACCCTGTTGTGTAGTTCTCAGGTCTTTGCTATGATATTAGTATTTCTTAATGATTCAAAATAATGGTTTATCGGTTTTAGATAGTTGGTCAAATCTGTTCATTTTTCTCTGCTGCTCTAAATGTCCAGTTTCCATCAATATTTTACAGATGCTAGTATATAGTATAGCTGATTTGCGATTGCTGGTATTGCTAAGAAATCACCTTGTCTATGCAAAATTACTATTTTGTACCGGTCAACTTTGCTTTTGTTGAGAAACTTTAGGCCTGCATAACACCTGGAAAACTATTGCTCAAGGTCACTTTAAAACATTGCTATCAGATCTGATTCTTTACAATATGAAGAAAAATAAGCAACGTATGAATAAACGTGTGGTGGCTCAAGGCTTTTGGAAAGCATTGCATTTATATGAAAACTACAAAATACCCAAAGCAATATTTGGGATGAGGAGATCAGGTATCTACTAAATATTTAGACAGTAGTGATATGCGTCTGTCACTGTGCCTCTTTTTCTTATTACGCAGAGATCTCTACTTGCACAGAGAAACCCGAGAGTCTCCGTTTCCCCACAGGGTTTATTGCCGACTGCTTGCTTAATCACAACTGCGGCTTGTGTGCATTGATTTATTCACGCAGGAGGGAGATCTTGACTGCAAGCATGCATAAGCGTGATACAATACATGCATGTGATTTTACTGCATCTTGCATTCATCTAAATCAGGGGTGTCAAACTCAGTTACAAAAAAAAAAAAAAAAAAAAAGTGGTGCCAAAATTACAAAGTAAACAGCTTTTTTTCAAACTAAGGGCCAGTTTCAGAAACTACATTAACTCAAATCAGATACCCAACATATTTTTATTGGTCACCGGTTCCTCAACAAAAGTTTGATTACTGAAAAAAATTCAAATGAGAAAAATATTTTACGTTTCATAGATCATCGTGGGGGCCAGATAAGATGTCGATGAGGGCCACATTTGGTGTGCCTTGAGTTTGACGCATGTGATCAAGTTAACCGAATTAGAAAAGTATGTACCTTTTGCAATAATACTTTAAGCAAGACTTGAGGTTGGGTGGCAGCAACTTGGGTAGTCCAAAAAAATAAAAAATAAAATCATGCACAGTATTGTGCTAATATTCTCCAAGAGCAAATCAAACTAATTACCGTATCTACTGGATTATTTTTTGCTCTAAGGTAGGCCTTGTTTTGCTTATTTCTTACAATTACACTTTAAAGCTGATTCAACCTTAACTATTCGGTCATCTGTTACATCTTCAACCGCTTGATCTCTTACTTTTTTGTCATCTTTTCCACTACTTGTTACCAAATATTTACAGCCTATGAAGAGTTGTGATCATTTCAAGCAAACTATCATGCTCTGAGGAGGTTTTTTTTTTATAACCCAGAGTGCAGACAGATATGGGGGACTAGAAGGTAAACAAAGAAAATCTGATTTATTTTACTAAATTCAAAACAGATCTGATATGACAGCAAAAGCTTACATGGACAAGGAGGAACAGAAACGCAACAGGCTCTGGGAAACACAGAGATGCTGAACTTAAAGGGACACTAACGAGACACAACGACAAACACCTGGGGAAAGACAACGAGGAACAGGTGAGAGTGGCAGGAGCTGACTACATGATGCAAAACAATAGGAAGGCCGAACACATACAAGAAAACACAAAGAACTCCAAACATAAACACAGATCCTCACACATGCAGAGAATGTGTTAGTGCCACAGCATATTTATGACATTTTCAGACACATTCTCAAAGATCTTGCCACGAATTTGCTTTTTGCACACCCATTCATCAAAGTATTTTTTTTTTTACAACTATAGGACCGTGTCTTACTGTAGTTGTTTCATTTAAGACTTCATCCTTTCCCCTCCTTTGTTAAGTGTCCCGGAGTTGTAGGTATCAGTCAGCTCCAATCAGCAGCTTCAGATTGTTTTTTTTAATGTCATTAATCTTCTGGCTTTATTGTGAATTACTGTCCTCCCTCCACTTGGAGTGAGTTATAATCATTTACTCAGGTCAGATGGACCATTCAGCAGCCTCGAAGCGTGTACGCTCTTTTGGCAGGTCCTATTTGTGCACGTGAATGTCCAAATGACCGATTCACAGAGCTGCTCTCGGTCACTGTATTGAGTCTCCGACACTAACGGCATCTGTGTGGGAAGTAGAATACATTTGGATGAGCAGATGAGACTATTTTCTGTGCGCATCCTTTGATAGCTACAAAACTAGGACATGTCAGAGTTTCTGGTACTGATGTGGGTTTTATATTTCTAGATGACATCAACGCTGCTTGAAATAGGCGACATGCTCACCTTCTCCTGTAAACAATGTTAGATCCTGTTAGACGTCTATCAAAAATGGCCTCAGTGACATTTAAAGGCTGGATCTTGTTTTACTCAGTTGTAAAATTAGTTTTGCAAGAGTTAAGATGTAAAAAAAAAAGAAGTTTTTTTTTCACGACATCTGCATTCAATACAGTAGCACGCCCGTCTTTCATCAAACACAATTATTGTCAGTGAGATGGCAGCAAACATGTCAATAACTTAATGAGACCTGGATACTTTAAATGAAAACGAGGAATCAAGGAGCTGTGGGGGGTGTTCTGTGTGTGTTTACACACGTAAGTGCTTGTGTTCATGTTTGACTATGTTTTACATGCGAATGACTTTTTGATGCATATGTGTCAGCGTGCGTTCACCGTGTTTTGTTTCCACAACGGATGTGTGTTGCATTTGCCAAAGTGCTTTGCAGCTGCCTCAATCAGCGTTACTCTTCATTAGGAGGTGGTGGTGGGAGATCAGGCTTCATTTAATCATGGAAAAACAAAAAAAAAACTTCCATCTCCCATTAACTTAATTAATCTGATGACAGAGAAAGGCAAGCTGAAACAAACTCTGCTTCTCAGTGTGTGTAAGAATGTACTTCTGTGAGAACATCACATAATCTAATGTTGGTTATGTTTTTGTAGAAACATTGTCGTGAACTCTTAAGCATTAGTGTACAGTTAACTCTGGGGGTCGGCTTGTTTTGTTAGTGAATCCATGTAAAAATTAAAAAATATATATTCTTACCAAACCTTCTTTACTTGCAAATTTTCATTCAGTCTTTAGTCTGAGAGGGACTGAGAGAGTATAAAGATGGTTTTAAAGTTGAATTAGAGGTCAAGATAATCATCTGTATATTAACCTGCATCCATGACGCATTTGACCAACTGTCATTATCAGGAAAAAAAAAAAAAAACCTGATAGCTGTTCACCTTTGGTCATATGCACTCAATGGAGTTGTCTATTAATGTATGACCAGAGTAATGTTTACTACTCCTGCTCCTCAGGGCACAGTGCCCTGAATGTTTTAGATGTCCCTTCATCACACCTGGTTACTTAGCACATGTCTGCAGAACTCTAGAGCAAGTTGTTAAGGTATTT